ACTGGGTCCTGCCCCAGCTCCCCCGTGCCCCTCAGCCAGGCCTGCACCAGGTAGGTCCTGGGGACAGACCACTCATGTCACAGAGCGCAGGCATGAAGGGCCAGGCCTGGGGCGGGCCGGGCGGTCACTAACCCCAGTGACCAGGAGAGCAAGGCCGCCTGTGGGGGGGGGGGCGCTGCAGGCTGAGGCCAAGGTCAGGCCTCCCCCACGGGAGCATGTTTCCCAGCCGACAGGGAGCCGAAGCCTCAGACAGCCCTGGGAGCATGGTGTCCCGGCTCCCAGACATCTCCATGGGGGGGGGGGCTGAGGAGTGATAACTAGAGCCCCCTCCCCCTGGGCCTGGGAAAGAGCCCGTCCTGCTCACTAGGAGGCACCCCCAGGTTCCTGACGGACCCCCAAGGGAAGCGCCATCCTGGAGCGAAGGTCCAACTCCCGTCTTCAGTGCACTGGGGCTCTGGGCCCACCCAGCTTGCCTTCCTCTACCCTGGCTCCCTCAGTGGGGCACCCCTAGGAGGTGGCTGTACCCACAGAACACCCGGTGGCACCCTGGGCTGCTGCAGCCACACAGCCACCTGGGCTAGGCCAGGCCACGCTGGCGAGGGCTGCCGGGGTCCTGATCAGACACCAGGAGGGGCGGTGACTCCGGAGAGGGGACATGCTCAACGGGGGGGGGGCCTGTGTCACGGGGAGACGACATGAGACAGAAGGGAGTGAAAGGATGGAGACACTCGACTGTGACAACCTTCGTGGCTGAGGGAGAGCAGGAGGGTGGAGGACCCCGGATCCCTCCTCCCGGGCCTGTCCCACCCGCAGGGCCAGCGGGAGGCCATCCTGACAGGCTGAGGGGAGAGGGGTCCTCAATTTCCTCAGGACCCCAAACCTCAGGCAGGACTCTGGCTGGTGGACAGGCAGCTCCACAGCGCCCCTTGGTGGCTGGCCGAGATGCCTGCGGGCAGAAGAGCAGCAGGGAAACCTTCCCAGCAGCCTGGGACCTGCAACCCCCGGAACAATTATAGGGAGACAATCGGGGCTCACACTTGGGCCCCACGCCCTCGGACGCCACTGGCTGGACAGGGCACCCTCCTGCGAGGACAGTCAGGCACACGCCCTCCCTCTCAGAGAATTACAAACCCACCACACTCGGTCAGAGTCCCGCCGGCACCCGTGACCGTGTGCTGCTGGGACAGGCCTCAGACCGGCGGTCTGGGAAGGCTCGTGAGGGCCCAGTGTCCCAACTGGCCTGCCCGCCTCTCCGTCCGCCAGCGGGACCCCCAGGGAACCAGGCCTGAGAGTGCATGCAGCCTGCCCGCCATCGCTGTCTCTCACACAAACAACCCACCCGCCGCACACAGGAGGGCGTCGCTGCCTGACGGCGCCAGTGGCTGGGTGCGCAGAGCGTTACCTCCTCGGTTCCAGGTCTGCGGACTCCCGCGGCGAGGATGTCCTGGGCTTAACTGCTCTCCACCCAACAACAGGTTTGCCACTTGCAAAACCACCTGGTCCACGAACTCCCTCGGGAGGGCGGTGCAGTTCCTCACGCGCTCAGCTCTGTCCCGGGGGTGAAACTCAGGCAGCCAGCGTCCCTCGGCCCCAGCCTCCAGGGCTCC